GGCGGATCCATATATGAGCGAATCATTACCATAGATATTAAAGTACTATGCTGCGTATATTTTATTGACACATTGGGACGCACAACGATTATCGAACACTCATCAATTAATAGCCGACCTTAAAACATGGACCGACTACATACCCATTTAACTAGTGTCAGCACGTGAAACAGAGGCTGATAACACCACCCCTCCCACCACACTTGCAGGAGACTTCACCCTCGACAACAACAATAACAGCAGCAACATTAGCAGCGATGAAACTGTGACTAGAGGAGGAACCTGTAAGAAACAATAACTTTCAGAATAAGGTTTTAATTCTGCTGAAATTTTTATGCAACTAATTAAGTTATTTTTTTTTGTCAAAGAAAACTATCCGAAAAGAGTACTTTCCATAAATAAATGATTTTGGAAGATTACTGTCTTTAAATAAAGCCGTATCAAATCCTCTTGACATGTAATGTCCCTGAAAATGATTGAACAAAGAGTATTAATTCACATTTTTTAACGATAAAAACTATTTAAGTTTGATACATAATATGCTTTATAGTATACGGTATAAATAATTTAATCTGTATGTTTATTAAGTAATTTTAATAAACGCATAAAATATTTTTTGATTTTTAAAAGAAATTGAAATAATTTTTAAAATGTAATTTATATTTTTTTGTACCATAGGTCAAGGACAATATATAGTTGGAATTTGAAAAGCATATACAAAATCTGTCCATGTGTTCTCTCCGTATATTCGAGATTTCATTGAAGAACATACATTTTTTACATTTACTAGAGAAATTTCTTTGAACACACCAATAGAGTCATAATTTCCCCCTAAAACATTCATCTACAATAATATACGTGATAATTAAAAAAAAAAGTGTAAACTATTATTTTTACATTTTATTCATAATATTTACACTAAATGAATCGTCTAATTGCTGTTTTAATGTAATATTGCCAAACAATATTTGAGAATATTTAGTGGTTATACGAGGAAACAAATTTAATTGAATTGGGTAGTCAATGCTTGCTATAACTCTAGGATCCACTCTCGGAAAGGTTTCTGCTAAACAGGGTGGGGAAGAGCTGTTGGTTGCTATACTAAGAAAAAAAATTAATTTAATTTGGTATCAAATCTCCATAAACTCCTGTCCGTGAGAATCTGCCACTAAATACCATACCATTCTTTTTCTTATCCTGAAGATCCTTTGTAACCCACAAGGACACCGTTTGGAACTCTTAGATTATTTGCCGCTAATGATTTACGGTGTAAATTTGGGGATTAAAAAGCATTATACTGCCTTTTGCATTTTGAAACATATATTTTAATATTCCTTTTAGTTGCTTCCACTATATTTGTTCAAATTTCCCTTCCTTGTATTGCCACCAAGGGAAACTTGTCCCGTATTCGTCACGTTTAAGATTACATGAAAAAGATATGTAAAGACTATTTTTATGACACATTAGATACAAAATAAAGATATATAACAAAAAATATATAAATAGTTTTAGTTTTAGTTATTATCGAGGTGGACATAATGCCCATACACTCAGACCTGTTGGTCCATTGTGCGCACCTCATACCGAATTGTCTTGATTCGGTTTACCCACCAAAGTGTTAATACATTACCAATCATAAAGTCACCTCTAAAGATGACCAAAGAGACCTGTCTTTTTGGCGAAATTAAGTATCTCTCTGGGTTTTAGATTTTTAATATCTTCTTTTTCATGAAAAGGTTTATTCAAGTAGTTTGATCTTAGTGTGGACAAGGCTTCACATTCACACATGATGTGAAATGAGTCTTCCTCTACTACTCTACATTTCCTGCACAATGGTAATTCCGATACCCCCATTGCGTTAAGATGTTTAAGCAGGTGACCATGTCCTGTCAGTAAACCAGTTAGGGTGCTTATTTGATGTCTAGTCATGCTATTAAGATCACCCAACAGTAGACCAGGGGTCTTGATAAACATTTTAGATTGTCTAGTTACTACCAAATATTTCCAGATTTTCCTGTGTTGTTCTCTGCACCAATTGCTCAGTGAGTCTTACCACTGGTTCTGGTCCAACAAAGGTGTTCTCTGCTCCTTTCCTGGCTAGAAAGTCAGCATTCTCATTTCCAGTGACACCGTTGTGTCCCGGTACCCACGCTAGTGTAACTTTGTTGAACCTCGATAGTGATTCTATATATAAGTTTTCCTGCATTCGAGGACCAGCTTTGAATTCACCTGATTGTTACAGAATGCCTTCAAAGCCGCTTGACTATTACTTCAGATAGTTATATTTCTATTTTTGCATACCAGCAGGTTCTAAGCCCCTACCAGTATCGCCATCGCCTCTGCTTGGAAGACAGAGGGTGTTGAGCTCAATGATATACTGACTTTTATTCATGGCTTTAAACCCTAAATTCCAGCACCTACCTTTCCTGATTTTTTGGATCCATCTGTATGTATCACAAATCCTCCTTTTTCAGTCAGGTGGTTGATATTCCATTCTCTACGTGTAGTGATCTCCACTTTGTAGGGAATGTTATTCTTAAGAACCGGTTTGATATAGTCCAAGGGGTATTCCAGAAAGCCCTGGTCTATCTCTTTTAGTATTTTACCATGTTCTGTTGTATCACTCTCCAAAGTCCACATACCTAAGTTGTGGAATCTTAGTGCTGTGGCTTTGGCGTGAGATTTCACCTCTAGATGCAGAGGAGGCAATATATAAATAAATTTAATAAAATTAATATTTTTATTAAAATTTTAAATGTCAATAATATTAGCCATAAGTGATTAATTTTTATTATATACTTAAATATGTTATGTATTTTAAGACCATAAATAAATTATTAATTGTAAAAACAAAATTAAAAACCTTTCGTATAATAGTTGTAAACAATTGACATATGTTTATAAATAAAATGTAATTATGCATGCAGATATTGTAGTGATATTAATCTACAAAATAATATTTGAACCCAAAAACGATATCTAATGGAAGTATAATTAGACTATTCAGAGTATTAAATCAAGTTTATACATTTTCTGTACCTTCCATAAATTTAATTTCTATTCACTGAAATAACGTTTACTGATTTTTAATTCTCACTTTCTAATATATTGTTAGAAATTAGTGGCAATATACGCGTAAAATATGATGGTAAAAAAAATATTATTAATATTATTTCTATTAATTATTGGAAATATGAATTTTATTAAAACACAATTAAAATTAATGGTGAGTATCAAATATAATTAGATTTTTTACAAGACTGGAGCAGTTTGTATGCTTCAGCTAGATGTGCATTGCCCCGAGTTTTTAGGTAAAATGGGATAATTCATTTTTTCAATTTACAGAACAGAAGAATGGAAAATATTAAAACGTTCTTAAAATATTTTATTTAAGTAAAATGAATAATTATGATAATTTTATTACAATTAATTATACCGTAATTATCATCCCTCCATTTATTTCCATTTGCCGATAAAGGCGAAAAAAATTAGACTAGCAGTTTTAAATATAAGTTATATTTTTTTATTATAGCGAAATTTTAATTTTGACGAGTATAAGTTAAATTTTTTCCATATTTTCAATTAATATAGTTAAAAAAACTAAAAAAACACGCTTTTAAAGTACATCGAATTAAAAAGTTAAAAATAATTTTTAAAATAAGCTTAAAACAATAATGAATGAAAAATACTAGTATTATTGTGAAAAAAAAACACATCATAGTAAAATTAATACCTTCTCAGCTTCGCATCGAAGCTAAAAAACGTGGGGCGCTCAATATACGAACAATATAGCACAAAGCACCCACGCTTTTTTTGCACTAGTATTAGTATTTTTCGTTCATTATTGTTTTAAGCTTATTTTTAAAATTATTTTTAACTTTTTAGTTCGAAGTGCCTTAAAAATTTATTTTTTTAGTTTTTTATGACATCGCTGTCACAGTCACGGAGTGTTTATTGTCAATTATGACTATTAATAAATATAATTTCTGTATTGCCAGTTAGTGTGTTTATAATTTCACAACTGTGTCTTACTACTATTGATAAAAAAAGCTATATACCTGTGAAAATCGTCATAAAATACCAATTAGCTACCAGTATTTATAATCCCTTATGTATTATACATGTATATTAACTCAAAAAAATTTTAACCTTTAAATGTTTATATCTCATAATAAACAATAAAAATTTGTTTATATATATATATATATATATATATATATATATAATATTGATGACACGCTCGCGTTTATTGGTACGAAAACCAAAAATAAAAAAAATTATACAGGAATAGTGTTGTCAGGATGTGATGAGCGTGGTGGGGTGAATGCGTTACGACATTCTTATCTCAAGGCCAGAGACGACATTACGCGAGAATAATAACACGTGGCGCGTGGAGAGTTACAAACATACATACAGGTGAAACTAATATAAGCGTGTTAAAAATATAACAATTCACGCTGTATCTATAGATTAATATTGATAAATAAATTTTACTATAAAACGACAATACAATAAATTAATTAAATAATTTTTATTTTTTTTTTATAAATATTTTATAGTTTAAGTAAACTACATTTTATTCGAAATTAAAAATAAAAATGTTTAGAACTTTATTAACCGTTATCCTAAACCTAACCAGTAGAAAATATCTGTATACAATAAAATTATATACTGTTTCATTTTATACATCAGTATTGGTTATAAAACGGGACTTTTAACGTTTTTTTTTAAATTTATTGTCTTAAACAAATAAATTAACATTTGTTTCGTGTCATTAAGCCCATAGTTGGCTGAATTTAGAGGACATTAAATATATTTTGGGAACAATAATGTAATAAGAAAAGATTTGTCTAGAAGTGACTTTTATAACTTTAATTCTTAACGTGTGTTTTAATATATGAAAAAGAAAAAACATCTCAACTCAGATAGTTTTGTTTAGTTAGGGATAATCTGTTAAATCTTAAACTTGTACTGATTGTATTGTTTTTTTTAATTAATAGGGACCATTTTGGATGGATATCAAAGAATACAAAAGATGTAACTCAAGCATTGACGACCCAATTCAATTCAATTTGTTTCCTCGTATAACCACTAAATATTCTCAAATATTGTTTGGCAATATCACATTAAAACAGCAATTAGACGATTCACTTAGTGTAAGTATTATGAATAAAATGTAAAAATAATAGTTTATAATTTTTTTTTAATTATCACGTATATTATTGTAGATTAATGTTTTAGCGGGAAAATATGACTCTATTGGTGTGTTCAAAGAAAACTCTTTAGTGAATGTAAAAAATGCATGTTCTTCAATAAAATATGGAATATACGGAGAGAAAACATGGAAAAGTTTTGTAGATGCTTTTCAAATTCCAACTATAAATTGTCCCTGGCCTAAGGTAATTGTTTTTATGCCTTTTTTCAATTATTTAATAAACATCCAGATTAAATTATTTTAATTTTTTAGTTGGAAAAAATATAGTACAATGAATTTAAATGAACCTAAAATAATTAAAATCTTATAGCAATGACACATAATAATAGTTATCACACTTAAATAGTTTAATCATTAAAAAATATGAATTCATACCCTTTGTGCGTCTTTCAATAATTTCCAGGGTCATTACTTTTCAAGAGGATTTGATACGGCTTCATTTAAAGAGAGTAATTTACCAAAATTATTTATTTATGGAAAATATACACTTCGAACAGTTTTGTTTGACAAGAAAAATAACTTAATTAGTTGCACAAAAATTTCAGCAGAATTAAAACCTTATTCTTAATGTTATATTTAACACATTTTTAAAATCAAAGTACTAGCAATTTCTTAGTTACGTTACGGTTTAAATAAATATTTGGTAAAATAATTGCAAATATACATTATTTAAACATTTATAATTGATTATTCTGATAATTTAATATATCATATTATATGTAAGTCTTACTTATTATGGTTTATGAAATCCTTATTATAATAATGATTACATTTTTATTATTAAACTGCATAATTATAAAAATTGTTCATAATTATATATCTAAATCCCTTATAGATTTTTTTTTTCGATAATCAACTTTTTTACATAAAATAATATAATTGCAGTATTGCAGAATGTTAATTACCAGTAAAGTGCGCTACTTTCGAAAAGTACCAGTAAAAAGTCTATTATGATCTGAAACGATGACATTGCCTTAAAGTGATTTATGACGAGATTTTAATAGTTATTAATTAGTAATTAGTAATAAGTAATAATTTCATAATTAAAGTAATAATTAGCTAATGCGAAACAGCGTGATTAAATGAGAATTAATATAAATTTCAATGTACCCCTTGTTTCTTTTTAAGAGCTTTAAGTAGAATATAAATAGAAATGTTTCTAACAAAAATAGATATATTTTGTTCAAGCACCTCTCATTTTCGCTTTATTTTTCAATTTTAGTCTAATTTTGATATTTTAATTTTGATACAAGTTATTTATCCATAAATTCGCCTTAATCGCTCGCGTTACATAGGCAATCATCTTCGATTGAAAATCTTTTAGCTTCTGATAAGAAAAGTTCAATTAATAATAAAGCGAAGTCTCCACGTAGCCATCTATACTTTCGTAATTAGTAGTTTTTACGCTTGGCAATAACAATATGGGTAATTTACATCCAGTGAAACTCGGTAAAATTATCACAAAATCATTTAAAGGAATTCTTAACATCAAACCAATCAATAGCTTTGAATGTTCTGTCAAAGTTGTCCCCTCGCTATATGTTGAATTGAAATTTCTGGCTCCGAACTTCCCCAAATATCTAACAAATTACAAGATCATTTTTGACATTTCTCTTCGTATACAGTCCCGTTCAATGCGCGTCTTCGTTTTGGACAAACACAAAAGTCCTGCCTTAGTAAAGAACACTTTGGTCGCTGTAGTCAGACAGACCATAATATTTCTACATGCCAGGACAAAGCATCATCCCCACCTTCATGTATCTTCTGTCAATTGAACCATCCATCCATCGATCGCTTCTGCGCCAAATTGACCAATGAAAATAACTTTAAAAAAATTATGGCCACAAACAACGTATCCTATTTTGAAGCTGCTCAAATTAAACGCGCTAGTATCGTCAACCCTGCTTCATATTTTGCTAACATTATAAACAAAAATAGTGATATTAACGATAATACTAATAATATACAACATGTTTAGTCAATTAGTTCTCATTTTCCTTTTAATTGTACCGATATTATTCCCTTCCCTTGCTCCCACCTTCTTTTCACAAACATAAAAAAATAATAATAAGTTTTTTTCCCAATTTCCATTTACTAAACCTCTTAACCAATTTTCCTTTTTCCCTAATGGAAATTTTTTAAATTACATGGCCTCTGTTAACTCTTCTCATTATAATAAAAATATTTTAATTCCCTTTTTTATTGTTAAACATTTCCATTCACTTATTCAAAATCCCAAATCTTCCTTGGAATCGCTCCCTTTTATCTTCCCTCCTCAATTAAAACCTTAAGACTTTGACATTAAATATGCCCAGTTATAATTTTACTAATTCAAGTAGCTTTATTCTTTCTTTTAACATTTTCAAACTGAACACTAAAAGTATCATTCCACACGCCTACAATCTTGCTAATATTTTATGAATTCATGAATGCTCCTTTTCTCTTATATCTGAAACATGGCTATTACCCAACCCTAATTTTCCCTTCGTCATTTCAATATATTACAAGCCGATAAACACAATGATTATGATGGTGTCGCCATTACAGCTCATCAGTCTATACAAATTACTCAGATTACTATTAATGGTAATCTTATATTAGCATAAAAACAGAAAGATTGTTAAAGCAAAATAAGAAAAGAAAAAAGAACCTGAGGAGAATTAAAATTAAAAAATAATGAAGAAGAATACTTTAATTTCCACAACTTCTTTGGGATATTAAAGGAACTGGCAAAAAAAGCGTAAACCTAGAAAAAGATAATGAAAGACAAGAATGATATACTTATATCAAAAGAAAAGAAGATTGCGGAAGAATTCAGGGAAGTTTTCTAAGAGATTTTAGGGAAGACAGTAGAAACAATAGGAAAGAGTATAGCATATCTAACTATTAAGTCAGAAGATAAAATCTCAAGTTTGAAAGAACTAGAAATATCCTTTAAAAATGCTCAAAAATAATAAAGCCTGAGGGGAAGATTCGATCATAGCGGAACTTCTAGGAGGATCATAGGAGGATATCATACATACATAAATTATGGCCAAAATATTCTCTGCTCGCATATGCATATAGTAATATTGGGTGAGACCAAGCAAGATATCCAAAAAGTCACGGAATCTCTGATTATAAGTGCAAAAAAAAATTGGGACTCATTATTAACGAGAGCAAAACAAAATACATACGAGTCGGTAGGAACAAACAGCGGTGTTACAAACTGGTGGATATATATTCGAAGAAGTAAAGAATTTCAAATACCTAGGTACCAATTTAAATAGCACAAACGACAACCACGAAGAAATTGAAAAACTTATTACATCGTAAAAAAAATATTTTTACGCCTTAATGGAGTCGAAATAACTATTCAAGAAGTCTAAAGAATGAAATAAGACCAGTTATAATGTATGCGTGTAAGATATGGCTTACGACTCGTAAAGATGAAAATAACTTGCTATCTTGTAGAGGAAATTCCTCAGAAAGATCTATGGACCTAAAAGAAACGAAGACCAAACGTACGAAATTAGGTCTAACTGGAAAATATAGAAATTATTAGGAAAACCAAGTATAATTGCGGAAATACGACACAAAAGACTTGGTTGACTTGGACATGTACTAAGAGCTTGATCAATAACAAATGACGTACTAAACTGGACTCCGCGTAGTAGTTAACCAATTGGAAGACCATAGCAGAGATTATTTCCATTATTACAGATCTTCCGGTTCTATTTCTAATTTTCTTGCTTATAAACGTATACGATCTTTTGCTACTCGAACTTAAAAACATGCAAAAAAATGCTTCGCATTTATTTTGTTCCTCCCTTAATCCCTCTACATTTATTCAGGAGCTTTAGTTTACTGCTAAAAAATTAAAAAACTGCATTAATCGTCGTCCAGTTTTTTTAAATGAATTTTGGTTTCCTTCTTTTTGTAATAAAGTAACGCCACCTTTACGTTCCTTCTCACAAAGAAATGACCGTCTCATCTTTAACTACCCCTAATTTATCTAATGCTTCCACACATTCTTTAACTATACCTTTTACTGTTGAATAGTTATCTGAAGCAATTTTTCTGGTTCCTCCTCATCGTCCGGCCTGTACGGTATTTCTCCCTTGCTACTAACAAATCTCCGTCAATTAGGCTTGGACACTCTCCTATCAATCTTAAACTCTCTATGGGTCAATTGCCTTATACCTTCCTCCTAGAGAATTTTTCACGTCATTCCTATCCCCAAACCTAATACATCCCCTAATATAATATAATACATTTTCGACCTATTGCCTTCTCCTCATCTCTCTGTGAAATAGTAGAATAAATATTAAAAACTCGTTTAGATTGGTTTCTGGAAAAAATATTATGATCCCCAATAACCTATTCGGTTTTAAGAGAGACTTAGGTATTATGGAGTTTCTATCTTTCTTTATAGGATCTATCTATGAATGCTTTTGCAAAAAAAATTCTTTCCAGTCCTAACTCCAACGCCTCACCAGCTAGCTTATTTAAGTTATAACTTACAGGTTTACTCTTATTTATTATGTTTCTATTTCAAATCAATTGGTTTTTAAGTGCCTCATCTACCTCTATGGCTGGGAAGAAATCTTGCAGATGGAGTAATGATAAAAGAATTGTATTAGAAAACAGAACTGCGTCAGCTGTATACACTTTAAATCCATTCCTTGTTATTTAAGTTATTAAATTAATAAAAAAAAAAATATCTTTTTATTAATGATGTATATTAAGATGAATATGTTTTTAAAAAAATTATATTCAGTTAATTACCCCGAAACATTTTCCCCCATTAATATGAGTTTTAACCTATCTTCTTTCTTTTATTATGATTATATTTTGACCACTCAAATTACTTCAAAATACCCTTGCCACTTCGCTCTTAAATTTGTTTTTCGAGGATGCCATTTGTTAAAACTTTATCTACTACGTGAATGTCATTGTCTTTGCTGTTTTGTCGTAAGTCTTTTTAAAGATATTTTTACGGTCTATTATCCCAATGTCATAAGACATTTGTAGTTTTGGCTTTAGCTCCGAACAATGTTCATCATAGTTTAATCATGCTTGTTCTGTCCTAGACAATAAATATAGAACTTCCACTTGCTTCCCATACATCAAGTCATATAGTTGCAGACTTGTTGCTGTCTGCGGAGTATTGTTGTACGAAAATATGGCATAATCGTCCCAATC